TGCCAAGCTTGTTCTAAGTAGGTGCTTTAGACCACTGAGCCATCTCTCCAGCCCCACACATATTTTTCATATATTTATAGCCATTTCTACTTCTTCACCTGCGAACTGTTTATTCATTTCATATGAATGTTGCCTTAAAAAAAAAAAACAAAAAAACTGCAGTTCTTTCCCAATCAATAAGCTTATTTTTCTTATATATCCACAGCTCTTTCATTCCAAAATTCATCACCCACCTCTTCAAGTGCAAACCAATCAGTATGGTGGGAGCAGAACAGGTAAGATGGAATTCATATTGGACTTTTGCTGTATAGCTTTTGTCATGTCCTAGGAAAGACTTGGAGATATAAAATGACTGATTTCCCCTGGTTGGAGACAGAATAATGACCTAGTGAGTTTCTTAATTCATTCATCCTTTTTTTTTTCCTGTTTTTAAAAAATTTTGTTAAGCATCTACTGAGTACCATACACAGTACTAGGTTCAAGGTCCACATAGCAGGATGGAAAAAGTTGCTCCTTTAGCATGCTGACATGCTGGTAGGAAGAGACAGATACTATGCAAAATAACATCCATTAGAAGATAATTTTAACTTCAGATAAATATGCTTAGACTATTAAACTGTGTTATATGAAAGAATTTCCTAGATGCCTTGAGAGGTAATGGCTTTGCATTATAAAATGGTCAGAAAAGATTTCTTCCAGAGCTGGTACAAGAGAGGATTAGTAGCTACAGCAGCAAAGATTTTAACTGTTTTAGCTTCACAGTGGCTGGAGCAGAGACCTCTTAAGTATACAAGTAGTTTAACATGGAGCACGTGCCTGTAAGCCCAGCTACTTGAGAGGCTGAGGCAAGAGCATCTCAACATCCAGCCCAGCCTGGGCAACTTACTGAGATCCTGTCTCAGAACGAGAAATTAAAAGGGCCAAGGATGAAGCTCGGTAGAGTAGCCAGGGTTTCAATCCTCAGTACTGGGGGGGGGGAGGGGGGGTATCTGGTACTGAGGCACTCTGACCACCCCCCACCAGCGGAGCTTCCCAGGTTGGCTTCCCTCTGCTCGTTGCACTCTAAGCTTCGTGGCTCTCTAGTTGACATCATCATACGTCTGGTAGGCTAAGTTATATGCTATAGCACAGTCGCTTCCTTTCAATTTCCACCACTAAAACTACCTGAGAGATGAACAGGGGAGCAGATGAATTAGGGGAGCAGTTTAAGCTATCTTAAAAATAATATGCATTTCCTAATTCCTTCAAAGCACTGATTAAATATTGATTATTAATATGCTAATCAAAGTGATTCTTATATTCATTAAAATGAATCCTTTCTAGACCTCTACCTGTCAATACTTAGTAAACATGTAAAATTTTATAATTCAAGACATTTCCACAAACCCTGCCCTGCCATCCAGTAAGCCCACATGGAGTGGCTCATCTCTCATGAGTGATATGTCCTCACATTAGCCCCTCAGTTGTGCTGGTCTCAGTCATGCCCCAGTGAGATGGCACATACTGTACCACATTGTGCTCTCTAGTGATAACTCAAAACCAGATGTATAATGTTTGGGAATAGCAAGATCTCTTGAATCTGCTAAGTACTTTCATCCTTGTTGTTAGCTAGTGGTCTTCCTTAGTTATGAGCTCTGAAACCACAGAGGACATAGGTGAACCTTGTGTCTGCAACATAGTAACTGTCTATCTTCAGCCTTGTCACTTAGCCTTACAGTGCTTGGGTTCTGTCATCTATGCAGTAGGGGTTGAGAGTATTGGCACAGGTTTGGCTGTCACAAAATGCCAGCTCTTAGCAGTTTTAAGCTTCCTAAGACCAGGGACATGACCTTGTCTCTGTTTTCTTTGCTCATCTTTCCTAATACCTCTTGTGCACACAGCCTGCATAGAATCATCTAGTTAGTGCTTGCTGCTGGCTGTCTGGCTGACCAGCTTTAGCTGGAGTCAAAAGTATTGTCTCGGAAAACTTCCTGGGAGGTGTAGATTCAGACACTGGCTATGTCTGACTGCAGCAGTTCAGCGTTTTAAAATTCCTGATGCTTGCATGTCATAGGCACAAAACTCATTCTCTTTGCCAGTAGCATCAGGATAATGCCTGAATATGCTGTATCCAGTTTCATTAACACAACTTTATCAAAGATTCATTCTGGTCACCTGATCCTTTTGTGTGTGATCAAAGAGGATGTGCAGTGATTAAGATTTGTGTATCTAGGAGAAGCTTTAGGATTCTCAGTTACTAGATTGCTGCCTACAGACTTAATCAAGCCCCTGGAACATAAAGTGGGCTCACAGGGAACATGGTTTCATGACTGTGTGGCTTTGTGAACTGATTTACTGTCTAAACTGATATGTTGATGTTTTACATAAATCCAATGTCATATCTGTTTTCCTCAGATTTTTCTTCCTCATCTTCCTCTTTTTCTGCTAGCCCTCCTCCTCCTCCACCACCACTTCCTCCTCCTTCTCCTCCTTCTCCTTCTTCCTCTTTTTCTTTTTCCTCTGTTTTCTCTCAGTACCAGGGATTTAACCCAGGGAAGTGCTGATCTACATCCTCACCCTTTTCTTTTTTTTTTTTTTTTTTTAATTTTAAGGTGGTCCTTGCCAGTCACTCACTGACCTCAAACTTGAGATCCTTCTGCCTCAGCTTCATGAGTAGCTGGGATCACAGGAAAACCACCACACCCAACTAATCCTACAAGTGTTAAACTAACTAGCTCAAATCCAAAGCTAAAAACCGCAGAAAAATATCAGTTTGGGCAGGGTTCACTTCTACCTTGAGATATAAATGAGAAAGTCATCTGCTAGAACTGGAGTTTTATGTTTGCAGACTCCAGAGAAATGCGAGTGAGCCATAGGGGAGGTGTATCTCCCCAGGCCCAGCATGAGAGAAAGCACAGGTGAGACGGTGGGGCAGTGTGGCCCTTGAAGGAGTCTCAGGTGACGTTCAAGTTTGGCTGGGTCTGTGCTTCCTTTGAGGATCTGGACTTGGAAACGCAAGCCATCAAGTAATCAGAGGCCTCTTTAACAGGCCAGCAGGATCATAGAAATCAAGAAGTTAACAAAGAGATGTTGGTGGAATAAATCAGATTCTGCCTCAAGTCATGGAGTGGCTATAATCCAAGTTTTAACAAAGGCTGGGGAACTCAAAACTAAGATTTAGCCTGATCTGAGTTCATCTGCTTTGCAGCAGAGTTGCTAGATCCTAAATTTAGGTTATACTTCCATACTGATGCCAGAAATGGAGAAGGGACATGTTTCTACTCTTTATTCTCATCTTGATTACTCCATAAAGTGAGCTGTTTGTCTTTAGGCCCCAGAGACCTTTTGAGCAATTGCAAGGGCACATGGAATTGAACCATGCCAGTTCTGCAGTGCTTTTTGCTAGCTTGTGGTTTTCAGAGAGCCTTGAGGGACTTATAGGGCCATTAATTAGCTTTATAGCCATGATCATCCCATAACTGAGCACACAGCAGAAATAGGATCTCTTCACCCGAATTCACAGTAGAGAAAACAGCACAGCATGTTGTAGGGAAGAGAGACTTGGAGTCCAGTCCTTACTCTGATGTTAATGGTCACAAACTGTGATCCTGCTCAAGGCTAAGTTTCCTCCTGTTGAAACGAGAGCACTGAACCTGGCTATATAAATCCCTCCAAGTTCTGTCATATTGTGGAGTCTCAGATACTGGAGAAAAATATTTCACATTTTTAAGTTAGCTTCTTTTCTATTATTATTACATACCATAATAGACTTTATTAAAATTATGGTGGCACATGCCAATAATCCTAGCACCTGGGGGGCTAAAGCAGGAGGATTGCCTAAGTTCAAGGCCAGCCTGGGCCTCATGAGGAAGTGCAAGATCAGCCTGTACTGCATAGTGAGATCCTGTCTCAAAGAGAAACAAAACTAAATAAATTATAGTAAAATAGACATTACAGAGAATTTGCCATTTGCTGGGTGTGGTAGTACTTGCCTATAATCCCAGCACTCAGGAAGCTGAGGCAGGAAGATCATTGTAAGTTCAAGACCAACCTTGGCTATAAAGCAAGACCCTGTCTCAAAAAAGACAAAAAGAGAAAAAATTTACCATTTTAACTTTTTAAGTCTATAGTCCAGTAACATTTAATATATACACATTCCTCAGCAGCCATCATCACCATCATATCCAGACCAGTTTCATCTTTCCAAACTGAACCTCCATACCCTTGCAGCAGCAGCTCCACCCTCCCTCCTTCCCGTACCCCTGGCGAGTACATTCTACTTTCAGTCTCTCTGAGTTTGACTAATCTAGATGTCACCAATCAACTGAGAATTCTTTTGCTCATCACAGAAATCATGACTCAGTAGTGCTAGCTGTCTCGCCACCACTGGTCAACACCAGTTAGTGCTGGGCGTTGTCAGTTGCCTCTGCCAGTTGCTGTTTTCTACTGCTGCCAACTGCCACCATTTGATGCTAGCTTACACCAGGCACCATCTGTTGATGGTCAGGTGCTGGTGTGTACCGCTATTGGCTGCCATTATTCAATGCCAGCTTGTGTGCCAGATGATGTTTGTTGGTCAACTCTGCTGGTTGCTGATCTGTGCCACTGCTGTATAACATTGGTTGTGCCAGACAGCATCAGTCGACTCTACCAGCTGCTAGTCTGCTGCTGTTGGCCACCACCATATGGCACCAGTTTGAGCTGGGTTCTTTCAGATGACTGCAAGGTGCTGGTCATAGCTGCTGCCAGCTTCTGCTGGTAGTTCAGTTCAACACTGTACTGTACTGGATGCCATTAGTTGATGCTTCCGAGTATTGGTTCCAGCCACCACTCTTTGAAACTGAATTGTATCAGAAACCATTGGTGCACTATGCCAGGTGTTAGTCTTTGTCACTGCCAGTTGCTGCCCATTCAAAACTGACTTATGCCAGAAACCATCAGTCCACTTTGCCAGTTGGTGATGTTGGCCGCTACCAGCTGCCATTGCTCAGTGTGAGATTGTGCCAGATACATTGATCAGCTCTACTAATTGCTGGTCTTAGCAGTTGCCACACACCACCACTTGATACCAAATTGTGCCAAGTGCTAGTTTCAGCCACTGCCAGCCAACACCGTCCATTACCAATTTGTGCTGGGAACTTTTAGTTGACTGCCAATGGCTGGTCTTTTTTTTTTTTTTAATTTTTTTTTTAATTTTTTTTATTTATTTATTAGAGAGAGAGAGAGAGAGAGAGAGAGAGAGAGAGAGAGAGAGAGAGAGAGACCAGCTCAGCCCACCAGGGGGCGGGCTGGCTGG